TTAAGATATATAGAAAGTGGCTATCTTCCCTCTGGGTTATAAAGTTACAATAGCTATGATAACAAAACACCATTTGATAATAGATGAAATTTTTAAAAAGGTTTTGATGTGGGCAGAGTATAAATCATATAAAAGCTCACATTATTTATATTTTCTATTGAAAGGAGACAGAAAGAAAAAGCCTAAACAGTATTTCTCCTCTATTCTATATAGCTTGCTCTAAAGACCTACGCTGTGGTCTTTATTTATTGGAAACACTAAAATGAAGGCTTATTACATTTTATGACATTCTGGTCCATCTTTTTAGTATAGTATATAGGATAATTGCAGCAGGCAGTGTCTTTTGCATACCCAATAGCCACTTTCTCTTCCCTTTCTGGTAGAATTCTGACTTGCTTCAGTATCCACTCTGCCCACATAAGACTTGTGAGAAAATGCTAATTGGTCAAATTTAATCATTGTCATGCTATTCCCTTGCCTGTGTTATATTCAGAGGTGAATTTATCACTTTTCTGGACAGTGACTAATGAGGGATAGTCTGAAGGAAAGCTTTCTTCACTTTGAAAAATAACAAAGACAGTAATTTTTCTTGCTGGATATTGTCAAGTCTGTATAGGATGCCTGGAACTGTAGCAGCCATCTTATGAGAATGGAAGAAATGGTTTAGGAAAAACAGGCTGAGAAACTTGGAGGGCCCTAAAATTCCTGAGCTTCATCTTTTGTTACACAAGATTAAAAAAAAAAAAAAATGCTCAATTCTTTAAGCCAGTGCTTCTTAAAATGCTGACTTGAAACAAGATAAAGAGCTATTCCGGAATATATATAAACACACTTTCCTTCATTAAGGGTTTGTCTGCAAAGAAAAAAAGATATCAGATGGACTAAACAGTAGTGACATAGTTGAGTTACATTTTGGTGCAAATTTAAACTCATTTTTTTTTTTCCAACTGGATTATTTCAATATATTTATGTTTGGTGGGAGAAGCAATTTCTAACTATCCAGGAAAAATTCATTTTTATTCGTAAAGTATTGAAACATACATTTTGGTGCATAAAAGGCCTAGAATTTGTTTTTAGGTAATTTTTATTCTTGGCTTCAGATTATTGAGAGGATTAACAGAATAGAGAGTGTTCATGGATCACCAACTAAATTATAGATGCAGGATACATGAATAAAGAAGCCTCTCTGGGCTCAGAAAGATCACAGGCTGGTATGAAAGGTAGATAAGGAAATCAGTAATTACAGTACCTGCTGAATTATAAGCCTGTTTACAGGGTGTTAGAGATTTATGTGGAGTGTGTTATGGACAATGAAGAGAAATCAGCAAGGGACTGGGTTTGGTGGCACATGCCTATAATCCCTCAGAGAACGAGGGATTGCAGCCGGGAGTATAAGAACAGTCTGGGCAATACAGTGACACTCAGTCTCTTCAAAAAATAAAATAAAAAAATATTAACCAGGGACAGTGACAAGCCCCTGTAGCCCCAACTACTCCAGATGCTGAGGCAGGAGGATCCCCTGGAGGGTGGCAGCCAGTTATGATTGTGCCACTGTACTCCAGCCTGGGTGCCAAATCGAGACCCCATCTCTTAAAAAAATAAAATAAAAAGGGGAGACTTTATAGAAAAGGTGGCACCTGAGCTAAATTAAAACATGGAGGTGGTACATAAAACTGTGTGATATGGCTGGGATGAGGCTGAAACTATAGGGAAGTGACCATTGTCATGGTGAAGCGTTTTACAGTGAGTAAAATGATGACTTGCATTTTAGCACTATTATTCTGGCATCACTTTTGAAGACACAGTGTCTGCAGCACAGACCAATCTATTAACTATTGCAGAATTGCTCTGGGATCAAATTTAACGACTTACACAATGCCCATTATACTTGCCCCATCTCGCTTGTTCCAATTAAGCACTCTACACTAGAAACTGAAGGAAATTTGCTTCAATTTAGGTATATCTTATTTTCTTTTCTTAATTTTGAGACAGTCTTGCTCTGTCGGCCAGGTTGGAGTGCAGTGGTGCGATCTCGGGTCACTACAACCTCCACCTCCCGGGTTCAAGCAATTCCCCTGTCTCGGCCTCCTGAGCAGCTGGAATTACAGGCGCCCACCACTACGCCCAACTAATTTTTTGTATTTTTAGTAGAGATGGGGTTTCACCACATTGGCCAGGCTGATCTCTAACTTTTGACCTCGTGATTCACCCACCTCGACCTCCCAAAGTGCTGGGACTACAGGTGTGAGCCACTGTGCCCTACCTCTATTTTCATTTTTAATCTTCACAACTACACTAAATCAGATATCAACTTAAAGTGAGGTACAGATCGTTGAAGATGAGGAATGTATCAACCCTGGCTTTGGATCCAGCCAAGTCTTAGTTCTGAGCCCACATACTTAACCTCTATGGTCTCTGCAGCAAAACCTACATTTTGAATTACGTCCTTCACTGTGGCCATGGCTTAATCATTGAAACAATGATAGTGACTTGTCTTTAAAACAAATCCTGGATTCTGACCAAAATTCCTATTCTGGTATTCTAGCGAGTTAGGGAAACATCTGCAAAAGGTACAAACTTTTTACTTGGTCCTGATTAGTTTCACGTGGGCATTTGTGGGTTCATCCAGTGTAATTTTTTTTTTTTTTTTTTTTTTTCAAGAATCTGGACTTTTTTGGAGACCTCCAGGTTTTAAATATTGGCTTGAATTTTAAAAACCAGTTTAGGGAAACAGAAAATTAAACTGCTGTTATGGTTAACTTTGTGTCAACTTGACAAGGACACAGTGCTAAAATATTTGCATCAACAATCCTCTAGATATTTCTCTGAAAGTGTTTCTTGAATTATTATGAGTTTACCATTTAAGTCAGTGGACTTGGAGTAAAGCTGACCTTCTTTATAATGTGGCTAAGCTTCTTGAATTAGTTGAACATCTTAATGAACCAAGACTGACCTCCCCCAAGGAGGAATTCCGCCAGCAACTGCCTTTGCTGGGTCTCCAGCCCGCTGGCATACCCGTATTTCCAAACCACCAAGCCTCCAGAATCGGATGAGACAATTTTTTCTATGTGCATCCTCTTGATCTGTTTGTCTAGAGAATCCTAATACAGAAACTAAGCAGTTATACACCCTCTGTAACTTATGCACTTACAGCCAGCCTACTGAAGCCTTTTTTTGGGGTGGCACCATCTGTACTATTACAAGACAGGTAGAGCTTTTTTCTCTCACATATATCCCTCAAATACTTTTCTAGCTAGACTTAGCTACCCATAACTACTGATTCCTAATCTATTTTAACATTCTCTCCAAAAAATTCAAATTTAGGACTTGTGAGACAAGTTTTTATATAACTTACTAGATCTCAAAAACAATCCAATGAGGTAAGACTTATCATAATTTCCAAGAAAACCAAAAAATCATCTAACAAACCTTAAATTTACTCTTGCTTCTCCTTTTTTTTGAGACAGAGTCTCGCTCTGTCACCCAGGCTGGTGTGCAGTGGCGCGTTCGCACCTCACTGCAACCTCCGCCTCCCAGGTTCAAGTGATTCTCCTGCCTCAGCCTCTCGAGTAGCTGGGACTACAGGCATGCGCCACCATGCCCAGCTAGTTTTCTTCTATTTTTAGTCGAGAAAGGGTTTCACCATGTTGGCCAGGATGGTCTCAATCTCTTGATCTCGTGATCCACCTGCCTTGGCCTCCCAAAGTGCTGGGATTACAGGTATCAGCCACCTTGCCTGGCCGCTTCAACTTTTTCCAAAGATGAAAAACCTTTATGTTCCATACAAGGAACTCTCTCAATACAGGATACCTGATCTACCACTGAATAATCAAATAACAATGACACACAAGTACAAGAGACATATAAGCAAAGTCATATAAATTAAGGCTGCACCATAATTTAGTAGTTATCAGGTGACTGTTGAAGAACCTAAAGTGAGGCCGTAGGTGAGAAACAAAAAAATCAAAATGGAAGTTTTTAGCAAATCAGTAGTTATACCCAAGGGCCATATAAGAAATCTAATGATATAGTGGGGAGTGGCCTACACAGCTATTTTTTTTGATGAAGGGATATAGAACCACTCAGAGCAATTTTTAAAAAATCCAGAAATATACTTTTATGGAAATAGGTTTTTAAATGTTGGTTTAAAAACAGAGCATCACCCTTTCACCAAAGTCTGGAGGCCAAACAGACTACCAGTCTGGAGTCTATTTTATTGCAGCATTTTAACATCAGTGGTATTCCAACAGTGAGCAGATGAAAATACTCAGTAGTTAGTTACTGTCCTACATCTTATACAAAGTCCTAAAATGTAATGACTTCATTACATTTTAAATGGCAAGCAGCATTTCACTACTTATAAAATAAATTCGATTCACATATATAATTACTAATCAGAACTACCTTTTATCCCATTTCTACTAGGCTATATGATAGTGAAAGCACCAGAATAAATTGGGAGTACTTACTATACTACAAATTACATAGTATTATATTCCATTTCAAATATTCTTTTATTCATTCTAATTAAGACTAGTACTGGTCACCAGAACACTTACTGAGGCAAACACTTCTGTTTTAGGTTACAGACCTAGAGAAACACAAAAAACAAAACAAAAAAAGAATGAAGCTCCTAAATATCTGATTATCCAGAACTTCAACTGGAATAACCTAATAGTTTTCCTGATGATTAATCAATCATGGGAAAAATAATTTACTATATCAAAGTATAGGGCAAGAGCAAAAGTATTTTTTCCTTCAAGTTAATGACAAAAAAAAAAAAATCAAAGAAATAAACAAGATTGATTTGTATTTCCCTTTTATTGCATAAATTACCAACAAAATCCTGACCTGGGAATCAAAAATTTAATAATATAACCTCAGTTTAACACCATTAAATAAGCTAAATCTCAGAGTAATACTGGAATGTTACCCAAATTAATAAAGTAGGCAAATGGCCAAGTATTACATTCCCTATTTCAAAAAAGAGGCATTAAGCATTCATGTCATAAATTTATTGACAAACATATCTAGCACGCCATGAGTTAGAGTTTGATCCATTTCCAGAGGCTGTATCTCTTAAAATACTCTTCATATCTGCAAAATAAAAAACAGAAATTAATGGCATTTTAAAAATCTCATTAACAGAAATCATGTAGTTTCATGAAAATATTTTCTATCAGTTTCAGTAGTACATCAGAAAGCGTTTACAGTATCATGACTTCATTCATACTGATTTGCTTCATCACATGCACCGAAACCTTTCCGCATTAGTAGCTTGGATAAGTTATTCCCCCTCTAAACTATGACAGTCTTTCCGATCATTCCAGTGTTCTATAGTATTACTCTGAGAAATTCTGACGACAATTAAGGTAAATAAATATTTTAACCACTCACAGGAAATCTGCTAACCTTCCAATATGAAGGACTCCTTTGAGCATATATTAACATATCCCCTTGACACAAGGCTTCTCAACCTCAGCACCACTGGTATTTTGCCCCAAACTTGGAATGATCAAAAATGTCTCACATTGCCAAATGCCCCACTGTGTTGTAAAATCATTCTCATTTAAGAACCACTGCCTTACTGAGGAAAGTATATTCAGAAGTTTGAGTTTCCCAACATGGTTGAGTTGGTGAGGCATAGATTTACAACTGCATAATTATCTAGGACTTATATATCAAGGAACACTAGAAGGGTTTTCTTCATCTTCAGGGATTTTTTTCACAACTTACACAAGTATTGCAAGCCAATTTAAAAACTGGGAGCACAGTGACCACTTTCTCAAAGAAATGGAAACGTTTATAGTGTTTTAAAAGACATATTCTCAGCCACTGTTCTAGTAACAGTGTTTAAGATAGAATAACATTAATCAGTTTGTCAGAGTATTACCTAGTTTAAAAGTGTGAGCTCTGGAACAAGAAACTGCCTGGCCAAGAGTCCTGGTCCACCATTATACCAGTTATGAGATCTTGAACAACTTAACATCTTTGTGTCTCAGATGGGGTTACTATCATCCGCCTCACAAGCTTGCTAGAGAACATGAGATATCGATGTAAAGTGTACCTGATTAGCAGTAGTGTTCAATAAACACTGGCCATTATTCAAATATTTTTATACAGGTTTACAACTAGTCTCCAACAATGCCACACCTACATATAATCTCAGGAATCAGCCCTACTTAACAATGTATTTGTGTGTGTGTTCTGGGTGAGGGGGAAGAGGCTACTTAATAAAATGGCCTGCTTTAACAAGATTAGAAATCCGTGAACTACCTGGTAAATGGACGAACTGAAACATCCTTATTGTTTAAGCAGTTGGTGTCTTACTATAAGGAAGGGTGTAGTAAATGCAGATCCAAAGTACAAACACATCTTAACTAGTAACGCCCACTTGTTTTCCACTGAAAATGGCAAATTCTGTTGGAAAAAAAGAGAAAAAGTAATCGAAATAGAACCACAAATAATCTGCTTAATAATCAAAACACAAGTATACAGGAAATGCTAGTTATATTTATTTTACATCATGGTACATATGCCATAAATCATAACATGTTTTTAAACATTTATCTTTCAAATCCCATGACCTTCATCACACAACACTAGAAGGTAAGAAACAATCCGGCTTTACTGAGCACTAGGCAATGGTCTTAAGGACTCAAACGTCAAATAGTGAGAAGTTTCTTATTTTAGAAAATCGAAAAAACTGCTGTCTTAAGTAGTCACATTAGAAGAAGATACATAGCAATCTTAAGTGCAATACAAAGTTGTTTTTTTTTTTTTTTTTTTTTTGAGACTGAGTCCGGCTCTGTCATACAGGCTGGCGTGCAGTGGCGCGATCTCGGCTCACTGCAACCTCCACCTCCCGGGTTCAAGCGATTCTCCTGCCTCAGCCTCCCGTGTAGCAGGGATTACAGGCACACACCACCACATAATTTTTTTGTACTTTTTAGTAGAGACAGGGTTTCGCCATGTTGGCCAAGCTGGTCTCGAACTCCTGACCTCAGGTGATCCGTCTGCCTCGGCCTCCCGATTACAGGCGTGAGCCACCGCACCCGGCCCAATTTATTTATTTATTTTCTCAATACGAAGCACCTTCTCTGCCCTTGACGACTAGGCCTCGTGTGACCCTCCGAGGTTGTCACTGCTAAGTGGTTTAAGTTATTTACACCTGAGGCCAAACACTGCCTTAACGAAGTTGAAGGGTTAGTACTTTTAACTTAGCCAGCTGGTTTACAAAGCCTCTTCCATAACCAGAGGCCCTGATTTCCTCATGATTTTCCAATGACCTTCATTTTGGGTCCGACGACCTCCAGCTCAGCTTTAAGCCATACACCTGGCAGCAGGGGCCTCCAGGAACCATCCCAGGGCTTTCTGCGGGGCGGGGGAGGGGGCGTCAGGCGGTTGATAAAAGAGGCAAAGCTTCCCGATCTACCTACCCATTCCTTTAGCGGCTACGCGCTAGGATGCCCAGCTTCCTCACTGGCCCCTGGGGTAAGTGAAACGCTACTCTGCGTCTCAGCCTAGTTCCTGGCTTTCATCTCCCTCGCCACAGCCCGGAGGCGGCCTTTCAGGTACGCGAGTCACAGCCAAGCGCCCCCTCCCCCAACGAAGTCGAGCCCCTTTATACACTAACCTTCCCAGGGCCCTCCTCATAGTGGCTCCTACGGACCACAGAGGTTGTGAACCTCCGGATGCTGTGGCCCAACATAGCGCTGCTGGAAGCTCTGCGAAAGGCGCAGAGACCGAGGACGGATGAAATGGCGGCACCTCACCAAGACCTTGTTTTCACGACCTTGTTCCCCTAGTGCTCAAGGACCGAAAGGAAAGATGGGAAATGAAGGGGAGCCTTGAGGAAACGCAACAAAGCGGAGATCTCAATGGATTGTGGGAATTGTAGTTCAGAACAGTGCGGCGCCTTATCAGCCCCCGAAGGATTGTGGGAAATGTAGTTTCGCGCCAGGGTTAGTTCTAGGATTCCTGGGAGCCTGTTACCGGAAACGATTTTTTTTTTTTTTTTGAGACGGAGTCTCGCTCTGTCGCCCGGGCAGGAGTGCAGTGGCGCGATCTTGGCTCACTGCAAGCTCCGCCTCCCGGGTTCACACTATTCTCCTGCCTTAGCCTCCCAAGTAGCTGGGACTACAGGCGCCCGCCACCGCGCCCGGCTAATTTTTTTGTATTTTTAGGAGAGACAGGGTTTCACCGTGTTAGCCAGGATGGTCTGGATCTTCTGACCTCGTGATCCGCCCGCCTCAGCCTCCCAGAGTGCTGGGATTACAGGCGTGAGCCACCGCGCCTGGCCTGGAAACGATTTTATTGAATCAAGTGAAGCAGTTTCACTCCATGTACTCTAGTCTATTGAACAGGACAATAAACCCATTCCTTTTCTTTTCTTTTTTCTTTTTATTTTAAATAAAGTACATGCTAGGTATCAATGATTTCAAGGACTTTTGCCAGTGCTGAGAGATATGTGCTAATGATCCTGGCTGAAGAAACAAAGCATAAACACAAGTAACCAAACAACATGCAGCACAAAGGACTTCAGAAAGAAAACTGAAGTACTAAGGTAATGATCACTAAAGATAAAGGGAATCAAATAGAACAGAAGGAAGAACAAAGGGCAAGGAAAACTCAAGTCTGGTATGAACACAGCATGTGTGAGTAGTAGAAGAGAAAACCGGCCTCTCATATCTGGAGCTAGCCTGGACTGGGAACTGGTGTCCGCCTAATGAACGTGCACAATTTCAGCAAGCAAAAGCATCCAACAAGACCACTCTGACAGTGTTCATCAAGAAAATAATATGATCACCGTGTAATCATATCTGAACACAGATAAAACATTGTCCAAGCCACAAAAATGACCGAACATCACCCTATCTGGTTTAATATGATGACTTCTGCTTCTTTACCAGTTACAGTCTTAGCCTGGATCTAGCTTTCCTTCCTCTTAAGATTTAGGAAGATAGCCAATATTAGGGGAAAAAAATCCCAAATCCAACAAGCATTTTCTAATATTTTACGGAGAACTCTTAAACGTCATAGTTTCTCACAGTATATGGTCTCTCTTACTGCAATGAATAATAAACACCATTTGTCAATTACAGCTGTGCTTCTGGTGGTCTTGAGAAGAAACCAGTGATAAATGAACGTGGGAAAGTGGTGTTAGGTTAGATTGTGAAAGACCCTGGTAACCTAAGTGTTATGTTATTCATCTGTGGGAATGTGCATTTCCTCACGTGTCTCATTTATAGAGCATTAGGAAACAATTCAAATGAGACCTAAGGTTTGCTTTGAAAAGGGCATAACATATATGCTTTGTTCTGTCTATTTTTTTTTTTTTTCAGTTTTTGGAAGAGAACAACCATGCCCCCCCACCAAAAAAAAAAAAACCGCTTAAATTAATATTTTGTTTCAACAAGTAGCTTATTTTTGAGTAGGGGTTCAAGAAATGCATCATAACTGGTGTCCCCTACCACCTAATTTATAGAAGTTATGTGACATTCATTTTTTTTTAACATTCCATTCACTGCCTTTGCGTATTAAAGGATTCTGATTTAACTATAATTGAGAGAGTTTTTCACACTTAATATTTCTGGATTATACTGTTCAATCTAGTGTAAAGAAATGTTATCTGTGGATTTGGTTCATTGTTGCTTCTAATTCACATTAATTGAGCCTCCACGGGGTATCTGGCTTTGAGTTAACTCTTTAGGGACCTGCAGGCCAGAGATTCCAGAATATGGTTTCAGAATTGTCTGCCTTCTCATGGGCTTTGTGGTAAGTTAAAAATAAATAAATAAATAAAATACGTTTATACCTATGTAAATATGGGGGAGGAGGGTGGTTACACTCAAGTGCCAGGCATGTGAGCGAAGCTATCTTGGACCCTTCAGCCTAGCCCCACCCTCCGCTGAATATTGCTGAGTGACTACAGTCACCACTGTGTAGAGCAGAGTTGTCCAGTTGACTCCTGCCCAAAATGTTGTTCTAGAGATTTGTGTGATATAATAAAATGGTTGTTTTTCCAAGTCATAAAGTTTGGGGTAGTTTTTTTATGGAGCAACAAAAAGAGAACTAGAAGTAGCACAGCTGCTCTATTTAAGGAAATTAGCCTTTCTTCTAGTTGCCATGAGGAAAACACAGTTTCTCATTACCAATCTGTAGATGAGAATTTAGCTGTATCATGTAAAATATTATCTTTGCTTCAAATATATTTTTCTCTGGAGTCATGTTTCTGTGATAGTTCTTCCGCTATAATGAAGACGGATGCGCCAAACATGCCAAAACATTGAGAGTATGGGAGGTATGGTGGTTCTATTTGAAGGTGGTGTAGCAGCTGGTGTATTCTGGAGAGTGCTAGACACTCAGAAATGCACTTTGCAGCTTTTCGATGCTCCTGATGAGTTGGGAGGTAAAATGAAGTGGGATTCAAAGTGGCTGAGATCACTTATTCTTGGCAGATTACTGACTTTTGTATTAGTGGCTAGATACCACCTGTAGATCACACTCTTGATAGTTATTTCAAAATATTTTCTAAAGAATATTTTTGTCAATAAGCCAAACTGAGCACAAAATAAAATTTTATACTAGTTGCTATATGTTTTTTCTTAATTACTAAGTAGAAAGCAATTAATAAATTAGTTAACTAATGAATGTAGTCTGAGTTTAGGAGTTTTATGCTAGTCTTGATTTTTTTAAATTCACTAAAAAAGGAAGAAAAAGTTTAAATAAATCTGGCAATATTCTATTTTTGTATAGGCATCATGGGAAATTAAAGATGGCCACAATTTTTTGGAAACTCTTTCTGTTGAGTGGTGGGGTCTAACATCCCTTTTCTTGACCTTAGTGACTGAATTGACTAATAGAATGCAACAGAGTGACATTCTGAGACTTCTGAGGCTGGCTCATCAAAAGCCTTGCAGCTTCTCTTTAGCAACTTGGAATGTTTTCTTGGGAGAAGTCAAATACCATGTGAGAAGTCTAACTATCCAGATACTTTCAGGACTAAGAGGAAAACCAAACTAGCTATATGGATAAGCCACATTACTGGGGGTAGGGGTCGGGGGTAGGGTATGTGCAGATGGGGAGAGGGAAGAAGACAGAAGAAGTACAAGGAGAAGGAAAGGGTAAGTAGGGAGAGGGAGACAAGGAAAGGGACAGACTTACCAGCACCCAGCTATTCTTGCCATCCCAGCCCAGGCATCAGATGTATTTGTAAAGGTGCCTTCAGGTGACTTTAGTCACAGTTATATTTGCCTGCAACTTTATGAAGCATGTTAAACAAGGACTGCCCAGCTGAGCCCATTAGCCCCCAGAATTGTAAGAGAAAACAGTAAATTGTTTCCTTGAGTCACTAAGTTTTGGGTAATTTGTTGTACAGGAGTATAAACCTGGAACAGGTATGATTTATTTATTTTTTCTTATACAAGCAGCCTAACAATCTATATTCATGTCATAATAGCTGGCAAGAAAAATGTGAATAATTCTAGAGCAACTTTGGATTCAGTATGATACTCTTTCACTATAAAGTGCATTTAAAGAGAAATGAGACATTTCATGAATTGATGGGTACAAAATAGAAAATGTCTTCAGAGACGTGAGGATTACTTCAGTATTATATCTTAAAAGTAAAATCCAATTATTTTAAGTAGTGAGTAGCGTGTATATCAAAGAATGAGCAATGTACTTTCTAGATCCACTTGAGGCTTTAGAGACTGAAATTCCATTATATAAAACAGTATATCCCAAAACTAAAGTACAATATTTGTCATTTTCTCAATATTATATAGAACAGTATATCCAAAAATTAAAGTACAATATTTGTCATTTTCCTCAACAGCTGCTATATTAGATTTTTAAGGACTAGGTTGAAGTTTTTTAAAAAAATAAATTGTTTAGTGAATAAATTATATGTTTCCATCCTACATTGCAAAACTCAAGTTAACAAATTTCTTTTTAAGTTTTTACAACTTCTCGCTACTGTAGCATTAGAATCAGGGCTCTGTGTTAACATCTATTTGAAATTTTATGTTTGTTGGGGAAAGAGTCGAGGGGGAACCTGGCTTCAGGAAAAGGAGAAAATGAGATTCTTCTGAAGAAATTAGGGTTGTGAAATATTCTGTCAGTCTTCTGAATGATTTAGTGATGACTCTCTGAAAGAGAAAGTTTTGCAAATAATCCTTACTTACTGATCAAAAAACTATAACATATGCGTAACTCTTTATATTGTTTCTTCTTTGTAAAATGCCCTCACTTCTTTCCTCTTTTTCCTATTGTTGTCTTCAAAATTCTACATCTGTGTCACTTTCTCTAAGAAGCCTTCCTAAAACCCTTAAAAGGAATCAATTTATCTTTCCTTTAAGGTCACCTCGAATTTAATTTATAATACTTTTATGTTAGTAATATCATGCATTGTAATTAGTTATATATGTCTCTATCTCCTTACCATATGCTTCTTTTTTTAAAAAAAAAGGACAGTGTTTCATCATTTTATCCTCTTACATAGTAAGTACTCAATAAATTTATGTTTGATGAATAGATGGATAAATAATGTATTCAATACAAAGTGGTTCAGTGTTTCTTCAACAAAGTGGTCCCTGGTGCAAAACACATTTTTTTCAGTGGCTCACTGTGTTCTTAATTCTACTTAAATTTTTAAAAAAACTAACACCCAGTTATTACCATATACTTTACATATAATATCTCATTTAATCCTCATAATAATACAAAGTGGTTCAGTGTTTCTTCAAAAAAGTGGTCCCTGGTGCAAAATACATATTTTTTTCAGTGGCTCACTGTGTCCTTAATTCTACTTAAACTTTTAA